GGTCTCTCTGTTTCCCTCTCAAGTCAATGAAAACATTTTTAAAAAGAAAAAAAAAAGGTTAACTCATCCCAAGTCACATAGCTCATAAGTAACAGAACTTGTATTTAAATCCCCAGTTCTTTTTGTTCCCCATGAGAACCCAAAAGGAGTGAAATGAGAAGACAGGACGATGATAATGTAAACACTATAGGACAGATATGGACAAAAATGAGAGCCACGAAGACAGAAAGCAGAGAGCAGAACAGAAAACATAAGAAAAGGAGACTAGGCATTAAGAAGGGGGGGATTCTTTCGACTGCGTCCTTTAGAGTGGCAATGCCTTTATAACTGTAATCACGCTACATCATCTTGGCTGATGCTCTTTTGAGTCCTGCAGGACATCTTACCATTCAGGCCCACTTCCCACCTTATGGACTACCTCCAGGGGCTATTTCAAAGCAGAGAGATACAAGAAATCTACCACATGGCTTGACAGCTTCCAGGAGCTGGAAGGAAATCAAATTGAATGATTTAAATTTAAATGTATCCTCAGTGTTTGTGCTCTAACTTTACATTGGCTTTGCAGCAAAGACTGCCATTTTAATTCACTGAGAAGCAGATGGGATCTGTCATGGGGTGGTAAAACATAAGAAATTTGTCCAAATGTATAAAGAAAAAGATACAGTTTTCTCTTGTGGGTCAGTTTCATAGTATAAGTATTTGTCACTGGGTGCACACAAGCTGGTATTCATCAAAATAATAAAAGACATATCTAATGTTTATTGAGTAATTACTAGGTACTAAGTGCTTTACATGTATTTAATAGTCAGGAGTAGCCTAGGAAGTTGGTACCGCTATGACCAACCACCCAGGTTAGCAATGAGAAAACTGAAGTTCAAAAAGTTCAACAACCTAAGGTCACTTGACTAGTTAGTAGGAGAGTGGAGATTTGAATCCCACGCCCTTGAGCATAACACTACACTACACAGACATTCCCAGTGGAGGGACTGTGAGTGTGTAACCAGTAACTCCACATTTTTGGACATTAGTACTCCAGAAAAAAAAAGGGGGTAGTTAAGAAGAAAAAGAAAAGATAATTACCTCGAAACTGGTACCAGCTCTTGCAAGAAAGATGTGTGAGCTGGGTGAATGGAAGTAGCAGAGGTCATCTGAACCCACTGTGGCCAGGAATAGAATCTGTAACAAAGGGTGGGAGGAGAAAAGATGGGTAAAAAGAAATACGAGTGTAAAATGAAAAGATGAAACACAGCATGTCGAGTGAAAAGGAAAGGAAGAAATGTCTTGTAAATCTTGTAGAACAGAGGGTGAAAATTACATGGCTAATTTTTAAATTAAGATTATTTCTCTAACTTACCCTTTTTATTTCTAATTTCATGGGCTAAACTGACCCATTCAACTCAGCCTTTGGCATTAATATTGTTTGTTCTGACATGTTGTTTGGTCTTTTTTTTTCTCTCGTGAAAGTTAATAAGTCAACATTAACCATGATTATGTAACCACAGAATGGGCAGTTTCTTGACGGTTTGGATCTTTTCCTGCAAAAATTCCCACTTCTATAGCTATGTTTAGTGTTTGGTGTGTTTTTTTAACCTCACCCAAGGATGTATTTATTGAATTTAGAGAGAGAGGAGGGGAGAGAAAGAGAGAAACATCGATCGGCCACCTCCGGTACATGCCCTAAGCGGGGATCGAATCCTCAACTTAGGCATGGGCCCTGACCAGGACTTGAACCCGAAACCTTCTGGTGTATGGGACAGCGCTCCAACCATCTGAGCCACCTGGCCAGTCACCTTTAGTGTCTAACTGCCAGAGGAGCTGGCTTGCTCTGGGTCCACGTGTCAGGGCGACACGGCCTTTTGCAGCTGAGTTGCCTGCTTCGTGGAGCCCCCGTGTCAAGGGTTCTCTTGGGCAGCCTCCAGCTCGGCAGCTCTCGTTTCTTCTCCAGAAGTCCCCCGGGCTTAGCATTGCTGACTCGATGCCGTATGGTCCTGCCATTCTCAAAACTGTTTACTTGATGCTTTAAAAAAATTTTTTTTTGTCCATACCCTTGCTCTGAAAATAACATGGCAGCCTCGGTGTTTGTGGTGTGAACCTACACTGATGACTTTGTTTATATAGATGTGACTGAATATTTCAAAGGGGGGAATACTGGCCTTGCACAGAAGCCAGTTTTTTAATGTCAGTGCAGCTGTTTTAACTTTTAAAAAAACCACAAGCATTTTATTCTCTAAAATTTTAATTTGAAAGACATGGGACTTTTAAAGAAGTACAGTGTTTCTGAAACCGGTATATGCTGGCCACCCTACTTCTGTTCTCTTTAAACTCTTAAGAGTTGGATAAAGTTCCTGCGTTGAGATATTACATGTAAACTTTTCACACCAAAACATGTCACTGCTGAATTGAGAGTAATCTTTGAAATGGTGTTATAGCAGAAGCAGTAGCGTTCGTAATAGAAACAAAAGGTAGCACTAGCTCAGTTCTCATGGTCTCTGAGCTGAATGAATTTTCCGTAGACACAGAGGCGGATGCCAGAAGGAAACAGTTGTGTGTTTTCCTAGGTTCACTGCTGCCCAGCGAGTCATGGTAAATGTTTTTGCTTCTTTTTTATGCTATAGCAATGATTTTCCACTTCCTGTTACACAGCAAAACCTATCCCGCTGTTAAAAAAAGGTCACTAGATGTATTTATTACAACATTAAGACCATCGCATCCATGGAAATAATTTTTTATTGTTCTGAGTCACTCTGGTTTGTGGAATTTTTACGTGAGTTCCAGGACAAGAATGAAATGATATATTTATTTTATTTTGTATCCTTTCTCTTTTTTTTTTTTTTTTAACTGCATGAATGTCAGGCTTGTTGTCAAAAGTATTTCCATATTTTTATTACTTTAGAGGTGATTCTGCTATATATTTATGTCTCCTAAACTCTTCATTGACAATTCACTGTGTGAACTGGGCATGTATTTTGGGAGAGCTACCTGCTTTTCCCAGTGTCATGTGATCTCTCGTTTTTCCCTTAGCTATTCATGTCTTCATGTATGTCTTGACCATGTTAAAGGTTATACAGACCTTCAGAAATATTTAAATTGTTTTATTGAGCCACTGGAAGGACTTGAATTGAATTGTGAATTCCAAAGGGCATTTGTTATGCCTTAAATTGTTTTCTTGTATTAAAGTAAACCCACTAAAAGTATTCCCTAGTTTAGCCCAGAATATCTCTGTGCTTGAGACGAGAGCCTGGAATTAGAGAAAGTCCCTGAAATTCAGTTTCAAGTATTCTTTGGTTTGATTGCAATTATTGTATTTATTAATCACCTCTAAGGACCTAGGTTGAATTTAAATAACAGTTCAAATTTACAGAGAAGCCTTAAATGTTCTGACAGTTTTAGAAAATATTTTAGTAGAAAACAATGACTGTCCTATGTGCCAAGATTTCAAGGTACTGGTTATTGTCATTGATATTCCACATATTATTCTGTCTGTGTGCAATTCTTACTGACTTACTTAACATTTTAAATTAAATCTTGTACTTTCTCGCAAGGGTAGGAGGATTGGCTGTTCTGCCTCTCACCTTTCTTGACTCATGTGCCCAAACTAGTCACTATTCCAACTGTGTCCTAAGTAGCCACTCTTCCAACAGTGTCTTTAACTAATTAGCCATTCAATAGATAAAGGGAGGGACTGTAATATTAACTTAAGCTTAAGCTACAAGGGGACAAAAAGGACAATTTCTAATAGATAATTTTTCTCTTAAAATGACCATCGCTGGTCCAAACTTTGATTCATATATGCACAAGGTGGGGTGTGTGTATGTGCACGTATGTGTGTGTGTTTGCACATAGGAGCATGATTCAGTGTTCAGAAGTTTTAGGTGATTGGTTTTCCTTTAGAAAATGGTAAGATATTAATCTGAGTCATCATTTTCAACAGGTTGACATGATGAAAGAAGCATTGGAAAAACTTCAGCTCAATGTAGTGGAGATGAAAGATGAAAGTGCAACCTTAGATGGTGGAGACGTCTTATTCACAGGTATAATTGTATTTATGTTTTCCTGTCCAAAAACAGCTCCAATATCTGGCTCATATTCACTTGTTTAATTACAGGTTTTTAATTACCAAAGTAAAAAGTGCTAAATGCAAGAAATTTGGAAAATACAGAAAAGCACAAAAAAGGGGAAAAAAAGAATTTTCATTCAAAGATAAACATTTCAATATTTGGGTGCATGTCCTTTTAGTACTTTTTTATGCATGTAGTTGCATGTTTTTTATAAATATGTTATCAGTATGTACCTATTATTTTGTAAGTTTTGTGAGTTTATGGGTTGCATGGTTTTTCATTGTGTGACAATATACCTGGTTTGTATTTAAAAGATTTTTAATTCAAGATGTGTCATTTGCAAAAATAATTTTCTTTCCAGTTAGCAAGATGAATTTAAATAATTATCAATGCCAAATGAATAATAGCAGAACTCAACAAAATATAAATAGCTAATATTATTTTTGATCTGACCAGCATCAGTTTTTACAGTAGGTTTAACATAGCCACTAAAGAAAGTGTGATTTTAGCATTTAACCTTTCCAACTCTTTATGATCCTAGAATAGCTCTATAAAGTCACGTGCTAAACTCTGGGTGCCCAGATTCATTCTAGTTGCACTGAGAAGCATGACAATCAGTAATAATTTTTTATTTATAGTGAGAGTTTATTATCCTCTATATGTCAGAGAATCAATACCTGTTTCACAGATGTAGCAGAGGCTAATCCCAGGGATCTGGGAATGTAACCCCGAGTGATCCACAGAAAGTATGAAGGTTCTTAGAAGTCTGATATTTTAGCCGATGTGAATCTTATATCGAATCCCATATATATACACAAAATAGAGCCATCTTCATATCAATATAAAAATATCTTGTATTACTTATGTTTTGATATAATTAAGGTTCCTGGAGGAGTATTTCTCCTGTGACATTTGGGTAGTTCCTCGCTGGGTATCACATACCCGTGGGTGGGACCCCTGTGTTGCCGGGCTCCGGGGAGTGTCATTCTTATCAGAGGTTTGTGAACAATGTCCCTGGAGTTGCGCACTGCACAGCCTGAGCTTCCCCGTCACGGGCAGGGCCCGGCCCTGGGGTTTGGTGGCACACCCGCTGGGCCTCCAGGACACAGCAGGGAGGCGGGAGGCCCAGGGCTCAGCCCAAGCAGCCTCAGGCATCCTTTGAATCTGCCTAGTAAGCCCCCCTTAGAATACTCTTCGTGTCTCCCGTTGATGGCACTTTCATTCCATTTGGCAGCACAGAATAACAGTTTTTCTTTGATAACAGGCTTTTGGGAAAAGATAGATGCATAAATCACATGTCCTTACAATAAAACTCTTTTTTTTTTTTTTTTTACCAAAACATAGCCATATAATAAATAACTTATAAGCAGGTTCTGATGATATTTGAAGTATGGTTTCGAACAAGCTGTGTCACAGCCATTTAGTTAGCTTACCAGCTAAGCTCAACAGATTCTTAAACGCCCGTCAGCGTTACGGCGAAACTTATTCCAGAAGCCTCTTCCACAGGCCAGAGGCCTTTCCGCAGCACCTCAAGCCTAACTTCTAACTAGGTACTAAGCAGTCAGGCTTGCCTTTCACACTATCTGTAAACTTTTTTTTTTTTTTGGTAGTATTCAATACTTAATATCTTAAAAAGGATTTTATTCAAAACCGAGATTGTGTTGGCATATTAAAGTCTTTATCTGCTTTACAACTCAGTCACACCTAATATCTGGCCCTGCCTTCTATCTCCTACTTCTCGATTTGTTTCCTTTTTAAAATTGTAGTAAAACATCTATCACATGAAATGTGTCATTTTAACCATTCTTAAGTGTACGATTCAAGTGGCATTAATTACATCACAATATTGTACAGCTGTCACCACTCAGCTCTTCGGTTGAGAAACAAAGTCTGTGGCCACCGCCAGGCGCCCGGCCCTCCGCCTGTGGTAGCTCGGAGCTCCGTCAGTCACCGCCGGGAACGGAGGACAGGAGAGCAGCTGCCAGCCGGGTGAGCTGCTGCTGGCAGAGATGGCCTCAAGCCTGCTTCTCCTAAATAGACAACATCCACTTACCTCTACTTTTATTTATTTACTTTTGTGAAATAAGGAGCATATAAAAAGTTATGAATGTTTATGTACAGTTTAAAGACCGATAATGAAGTGAACACCTGGGCTCCAGGCCCGCAGGTGTAGCTCGGTTGGTTGGGCATTGCCCACGCCACAAAAGGGTGCCAGTTCCGTTCCCGGTGGGGGGGGTGGAGAAGGCAGCCGATCAGTGTTTCACTCTCACATCTATGTTTCTCTCTCTCTCCCCCTCCCTTCCTCTCTCTTTAAAAGTCAATGAACTAAAACAAAAGCAATAGAGCATTGCCAGGCCCACAGAAGCCCCAGTCCCAGCCTCTCTCTCCTCCCAGCCTGCAGTAACCAGTCCTGAGTTTTATGTTAAGCACTACCTGCCTTTCTTAGAGTTGCACCTCAATACATGTGTTCCTAAATTATACGTTATTTAGTTTTTCTTGTCTTACAGCTTTATATGGTCATAATATATGAAGACTTGTGTGATTTTTCCGCTTTGGAGCTAACTTGATGTGTGTAGCTTATACTCATCTCCACTGCTCTGTGGTATTTTGTGGTAAAAATAGATCATGGGGTACTTATTCATTTCACTGCTGATGTACCTTCAATTGTTTTTCAGTTTTGTCTATTTTTTCAATGCTGCTNTTTGGAGCTAACTTGATGTGTGTAGCTTATACTCATCTCCACTGCTCTGTGGTATTTTGTGGTAAAAATAGATCATGGGGTACTTATTCATTTCACTACTGATGTACCTTCAATTGTTTTTCAGTTTTGTCTATTTTTTCAATGCTGCTATGTACATCCTTGTGTTTGTCTCCTGGGACATGCATAAGAGTATCTCTAAAGTAAATAACTAGAAATGGAATTTCAGGTGAAAAACTTTTTTCTTTTGCTGCAATGAGATGATTATATGATTTTTCTTCTCTAATCCATCGAGGTAGCTAAGTACATTAGTTGATTTTCTGATATTTCACCAGTCTTGCATCCCTGAGATGAAAACAAACTTGGTCATGATATATTGTCTTTTTACTACAGGGTTGGATTTAGTTTGCTGATATTTTAAGACTTTTGTTTCTGTGGCCTGTAGTTTTTCTTTCTTGTTATCCATGTCTGGCTTTGGTAAAAGAGTTATGTTAGCCTCACAAAATGTATTAGGGAATATTTCCTATGTTTCTATTCTGTAGGCAGTACTACTTGAATTGTGCATTCCTTGAACTGTGATAGAACTTACCTACAAACAGGCCCTGAGTCTGGTGCTTTCTTTGTGGGGAGATTTTAAATTCATATTGTCTCTTTAATGATAGTATCATTATTGAGGTTTTCCTGAGTAAGTTTTGGTCAGTTCCATTTTCTAAGATTTTATCTCTTATATCTAAGTTTCAAATGTTGGCTATAAAGTTATGCATATCCTCTAAATATCTGTTTTAAGCTTCACAACAACTAGAGCCATGTCTCCTTTCCGTTCAGAACGTTTATTCGTGCCTTATCTTTTTTCTTGCCAGAGATCTGTCAATTATTAAAATCTTTTCAAAGATTCAGCTTCTGGCTTTATTGAACCCTCTCTCTTGTATATTTTCTTTCTCCTTCCCATTCCTACCTTTATTTCCTTCCTTCAGATTTCTTTCTTTGTATTCTGTTCTTTTTTTCTTACATTTCAAGTTGGAATTCTGCCTCCTTAATTTTGAAACTTTCTTTATCTTAGTGAAAACATTTAAAAGTTATATAACTTTCCCTCCAAGTGCTGCTTTAGCTGAATCCTTCATGTTTTGTGATTAACATTTTGTTATCGTTATTTCTAAATGTGTTTTTTTTTTTATTTCCATTATGATTTATTCTTTGACNGTTTTGTGATTAACATTTTGTTATCGTTATTTCTAAATGTGTTTTTTTTTAATTTCCATTATGATTTATTCTTTGACTCATTAGTGTATAATAATGTTTTTTTAAACATATTGGTCATTATTGTAAATTGCTGGGACAAAGACTCAAGCATGTAGCCTGTCTTTCCTTTATAAATTTGATTTCAAGTAGACCAAATACTTGACTGAGGAAAGTTTTTCTTTTTACAATTATATCCAGTAAATGTAGGTCCCTAATAAAATAATGGATCTGTGCAATGATCATCAGAGGGTGTTAAACCATTTATATGACAGCTCGATGGGAGCTTCACAATGGAGCAATTGGACTGACACCACCGGAACGCCCTGCTCATTCTAGTATCACTGAAAATGTGAGAGTCAGTCACAGCTTCATGATGTGATGCAATAGAAGCACAGCCCCACCGCTGAAGTACTCCTACCCCCCCCCAAAAAAACTGAACAAGAATCTAATTAAGCATCTCCATGAAACTATTAGTTTACCAAAAATACAAAGCATAAAGGAATCAATCAGCCAGATCTAGACTGTAGGATAGTCTATATGACAACTGACCTGGTTTCTCCTAGGAAAGAATGAGGGGAGGGAGGAAAGAAAAGAGGGTGAATTGGTACGGAAGAAAATGATGTAAGGAACATACGATCGAAACAAATTTTTTCAATATTTCCATTTCAGCACTTTATATCAGTTCTTTTTACCAGGAAGGCCATTTAGGAGACCCAGTCCACCATACTGCAAGAAACAGAAGTCCAACTTACTTTTTAAAGAGATAAGCAGTTTACTTTTGTTTGTACTTTCCTACCTTGACTTAGTCTTTGAAAATGGAAAGAGTATGCCTTATAAATTTGCTTGAATTTGCTTAATGCATTAAAAGTTTTCCTTAAAAATTATGTAAGTCTAATATATAAATCCATTTTTATCCTAATTAAGGAAATTTAATGTTGTTTTTCATTGTAGGTAACTTTTTTAATAACATGAGTCATACTTTTGTCAAGTAAAAGACCTTTCCCTACCTTAAGTTTTGACTTTTATGTAGTGAATTTTCTTAGGAGACAACACAATCATAAAATGTCAGTCTGCCACCAAAGATTTGTGTGTCTGCCAACAGCACAAGCCATTGGAATTTACCATAACATCATCTGACCTATGTTATTTACTCCTTTTATAAGGACATCATGAAGATTAAAGTGGCAACATTTATAAAATTTATCAAGCAGTTTTGTCTACATGGCTACTCTGCTTACACTTTACCCTTCTGTTCTGAGCAAAAACATACCAATTTCTCTTCGAATAGTGTTTCCTCCTTTCGTGTAGAATTATTTTTTCAAAGAATTAAGGGAGGGTAAGAACCCCCACATTTATGCATTGCCTAACTCTATCATCTACTACTATATGTGTATGTTTGCCTACAACTAGGAGAGCATTTTTATTTAGTGTTTTGTTTTCTGAAAAGAAAAATTGTAGAATTTCAGAAAAGTTAAGAAGAAAGTTCTATCTCCCTACACTTTAGTATTTGTAGACAAACATCTTTGATGTTTTGGTATAAAATAAATGGGTGTAGAGTTTTAAAGACAGCTCTTATAGTCAGACCTGAAGACCAGTGAGCACTATACTTATGTTATACCCAGATGGCTTCTTCAGCCCTTATTTCATTGTTATAAGAAAAAGAATCCAATGTCATCCAGAATGTCTAGAATTGTTCTTTTAGGGGGGAAAAGAGGAAGCACTGCTAACTTGTCACTGCTGTTACTTAATTCCTGATTACAGATTATTAATGTGTTTCCTAAACAAAAACTTAACTCTCTTATTGTGGTAAAATATACATAACATAAAATTTACCATTTAACTATTTTTAAGTGCACAGTTCAGGGGCATTAACTACAGTCACATGGTTGTGCAGCCATCACAACCACCCATCTCCAACACCTTTTCCCTTCCCCAAATGGAAACTGTATATCCATTGAACACTGACTCCCCGGTTCCCTTTCCCCCTTGCCTTGGCAATCACTGTACTTTCCATCCCTATGAATTTGAAAAAGTTTATTTTTAAGGGCAATAGTTTGAAATCAGATTTGTGTAAAAAGAGCAGAGGGCAGAGTGTAAGTACATCTGCCCTCTGTGGTAGGAAAGAACTGTGTGATGCTTCAAGCTCATTACTTACAAATAAAGAAACAGTGTGCTGTCACTGGGGCCACCCACTCACTGTGGTTCATGTCATTTATTACAGGCAGAGAATTTTTTGTGGGCCTTTCCAAAAGGACAAATCAACGAGGTGCCGAAATCTTGGCTGATACTTTTAAGGTAGGTGAAGGATCATTTATGCCTGGCACAAAATAATTAATAAATATTCATAGACCCGCTGAATCAGTACGTCATGAATAATGGTATTTATATGTCACCGGCTTCGCAAACTGATTCCTAATATTTGTATGTCGGTTAGAAGTTTCAGAAGCTATCAAATTCAGATTTCTCAATAAATAGGCTTTATTGAGCTACCACAGCAGCAACAAAGTTATCATGAACATCTGTTTTCTCCCAATATATAATCATTCAACCACAAATTATCATGGCACAATCGATGATTTTAAAAAAAATCTGGAGACCCAATTGACTCTAGCTTGAAATGTGGATTTTTCAGATTAGAATGAAGGATCACCTGTACTTGGGTGCCTACTATGTGCTGAAAACTGTGCTAGGTGTCGGCACACATCCTCTCAAGTTCCCTTTACTCTGTTGACCACTAATAGGTTGGTTCACCAGACTGCTTAGGAAGGGATAGAACCCCCATGAAGCTCTGCTCCCCATGAAGACATGAGGCTCTAGTTTGCACGGGATATTTAGATACATCCTTTCAGAGCAACCCGCTCCATAGATCAGCCAGTGAAGCTGTTGATAGTCACACATCCGGAAGAAAGCTCTGCACTTTCTTCTTAGAAGCAGTCTTCACTTAACTGGCGATAACAAAACCTGTGGGTCCCAGTGTTCCTTGCAGACATTCAGGCCCCTGGCAGCCTCCAGAGGAGCGAGCGTGATTCAGGCAGGTTTCAGTAGGTTTTAGAATGATTCTGCAATGCCAACCTGCTTGTGTCTATTATTTGCATAGGACTATGCAGTCTCCACAGTCCCAGTGACTGATACTTTGCATTTGAAGAGTTTCTGCAGCATGGCTGGGCCTAACCTCATCGCAATTGGATCCAGTGAATCTGCACAGAAGGCCCTCAAGGTAAGTACAAAACTAGATGCCTTCTAGGGAATGCCTGCCACATGGTTTTTCTAATTTTGTCTTCTGGGTAGGTATCAGCAGGGGTGGCATGGAGAGAACAGGCTGGCACTCGAGCTTTCTCGGACATGCACTGTCGTGACTTCTCATTCGTCAGGAACCAGGAACACCTAAGTGATGAGCCATTCCTACTCACACCCCTGCTTTTCTAGAAAGGCCATGATTCAGCAGAATAAACACTGAGCTCAGCACAGTTACTGCCTCTGGGAGAAAGAAGGGTGCCACCAGTAGAGCTCCCCGTAATGTTCCTCTCCTAAGTCAGGTCATTGGTGCACAAGGGGCCGTTGTATGATTCTTATCCTTTGTAGAGCTGCACTGTTCCATAACAGTCTTTCAGAGAGCCATGATTCAGAAGGACCCAAAATCTGAACTTCTTCATACGCACCTAGAATGCTTAACTTTTAGGACAGCAGCTTTTCTCATTTCACAGATGAGAATAGGTCTAGCCTGTTCTCTAGAAAAAAATATGACTTGCCCAGGTCACACAGCTGGATTATGAGTGGAAGCCATGGGTAATGAAGACCTGGTATAAACAAAGACTGAGCAAAGTACATACATGAGATGTAGGCAAGCTAGTCCAACTAATAAAGAGCTTTCTAGTGGGCTCCTGGGTGGGATGGTGAAATTCAGATTTAGTGAACTGACTGCTTATTTATTTGAGAACAGTTTGGGCTCCCAAATAAGAACGATCAATGAAACTGATAGTGGGGTAAGTCCTACTATTAATCTGAAGATATAAAAACTGATGGAGATAGGCAAGAAGATACATGGATAGGGACAGGTACATCATTGGCAAGTAATGAAAGCATATGGGTCTTACTTTTTCCATTTCACAAGTGAAAATACTGAGATCTGATGAAATAAAGCTTTTTGAATAGGATCTTACGGTTTCAGAATCCAATTTCCTGGGCCCTGGGTCTCCTCTCCCCAGTTGCCCACCCCGCGCAACACTCGTTCTTTCTCTGTTCAAAGCCTTTCCTGTTATTTTCCCATGGACTCGTTCTGGCTGAGCTTCCCCTTTCTCCTCCGCTCTCTCCAACCATCCCCCTCATCCTGTTGTTTTTCTTTTTGGCTTGTGTCCAGGATATGACCTGTCTCAGGAAAGATATGAGTTTGGTCCCAGATACCGATTTTTGCCTTGCAAATCTTGATATCTCAATCTTGCCTCTGGAGAGAAGCCTCTGGCTACTTGGGCATGTCTTTGAAGGGCGAGGCAGTTAAACAGAGGTGACTTGTGCCTTCCCGCACTGCACACTGAAAGCTTGATTACTTCCCACATCTGTCGCTGTTTGCCAGTACTTGCTTCCTCCAGAGTCTAAAAACCACTTCTTACATATTTATGCAGAGCTGAGAGCCCAAGGGTTTCTTATTGCGTTCAAGACACTTTGTGATGGCTTGCAATCTATCCTTGGTTAATGAAGTGGGTTCTTATGTAGATAGTCATCATACCTGTCTAAGGTTGTGGTAGATTTAAGTGTGTACGTTGGATATTTCAGTGAAATCATCTGTCTAGGAAGACTTTAGCAACTCACTGCTAAAAAGCCCAGAACATATTCAATATAAAGTACATTTAATACACATTTAACACAGAGTATATTACTGCATTTTACTGTTGATATGGCCAAGGTACTAGAGGTTAGTGGCTTGAACAAATTCCTAAAGATATTTGACATCACGTCTTATCTTAGAAATACTCTAATCTAAGCAAAATTAGTCTTTACAGCATTCTGCCCTTTCTGTAGTTTTCCTCCCAGACTTCCCAGCATGCCCCTGAGCAACTACCACCTTCATCCTGCCTCTCTAACTATAAAAGAAAATGGTGTAAGATTAATTCATGCACGGGCAATAGATGTACTTGTGTCTTGCAGAAGAAATGTTTTCCTCCTCAAGATCATGAGAGCTCTAGTTGCTGCACAGCTGGAACTGCTGCTCACAAACATAATTTGAGCAAAAGAAGTCAGTCTCCAAAAAACATGAATGCTATTAGTTCATTCATTTAAAGTTAAGCAACTAGTTAAAGAACTACTCTATGCTGTTAGCTTCCGAATAGGGGTTACTTTAAGAAGGAAGAAGGGAGTCATGGTCCCAAGGGCCACTTTGTATGTTCTACTTTAATTTTTAAAGTTTAGGGAAAAAATACATATACTATTGGAAGTGGGCTTTACATTGTACATGATGCCTATCTTTTCCAGGCTAGCCTGTTTTTTTTTAACTAAAATAAAAAAGACTGAAACCTTTTACCCCTTGACCAAAATCTCCCCTTCCTCTCCCCCAGCCCTTGTAAACCTTAAATATGTACAATTTTTAATTGTTAATTATACCTTAATAAAGTCGGGGAGGAAAAAATTACATGGTAAAGAGTAGATTTGCACCGCATCTCCCCCGATCTTTTCTAAGTGCATTCCAAAGGAACCTGGATTAATTACATGCTCTCAGTCACAGGAGGACCAGTTGTAATTCCTGCCCTTGGGAGGGACTCAGTAAAGATTTTTAATTCAGTCTCCTTGATAGCATTCAGTCCCCCAGTAATTGGCGTGGCAGGGGAGAAAAAGGAAGGAAGGAGGGACTAAGGGAGGGAGGCAGGGAAGTAAGGGGAGAGGGGAGTGACCCTTAGCTAAAACTTTCCTGAAACTAATCAGGTGGGGAAGCTGCTGGCTTACCAGAGCTGAGCTGGAGTTCAAGGGGCTTTGGTACTGACAAGTCCTGGGGCTCTGCCACCTGCTGGCCACGCAGCAAGAGGAGCCTTCTCACCTTCCTCACCCCAGGCAGACCAGTTCTTTTCTCCTTTTGGCATTGGCAGTTTTGTTTAGTGGCCTTTCTTTTATTAATAATTCTATTTTTTTGTGTCACAAGGAATGATTATTTTAAAATACTTTTCATAGAAATACTAAAAGGATGTGGTAAGAAAAGAATTATGGGATCACCACTCCTTATTTGTCTCTATGTCATGTAAATGGAGCTGGACTATCGTAAGTAGAATTCCAGCAGACTTGCCATTTTAAATTAAAATGTTCATAAGGCATCTCGATGGAAATGTCTTTTAGGTTTCTTATCTACTTCCTGAAATAACTAACTGCATTTGTAAGATTCCTTAAATGAGGACTTGGGCTGCTTTGCAACTACAGTAATTTAAATTGCATCGCACACTCCATGTTTTTCTTTTGAATGACTACATAATAGAGGTCACTCAGGCAGTATTTCCTCTCCTTTTGTCTCAGCTTCAGCATTGGTTTTATGTCCAAAAATGTCCATGTTATTTTATAGATGGTCATATAAAAAAATGAAGGTGGAAAAACCCTCAATGTGTTTTGATTTTGTATGTTTTTTTATTGCCTGGAATTTCCTTTTCTATTGCCTGTAACAGCAATCGCAAAAACCAAAAGATGGAATGAGAGTTAACTGGTATCAACAGGGTGAATGAAATGGAAAAATAAAGACTTTGAGTTGTGAGTTGTCACAGGGAATCATACCGCGTAGCCGCAGGATTTCCCACACTGGGCCTCTGCTATGAAAGCATACTGGCCGTCCCACTGCAGTTTAATTTAGCCTTATTACCTGGTAGTCTGTTCCAGTTGTATTCGCCAGACCCACAAAACAATGATTTTTTAAAAAACTACCATGTCTGAATTTAAAAATTAACATAAAATAAAATAGCCTTTGATTTTGTAACAACTGTTTATGCCTCTTGTCCTGGCAGCAGTTGCTTATCTGACACTATTCCCGGAGCTGGCTGCCAACAAGACTGGG